AGATGGTGAAGGTGATCGGCTCGTGGTCACTGTCACCTAGCTTCCCTTCAATCGTTAGGTCACTGATTAGGTTGTCCCCAGTTGCCAGTATGAGGTCGAGCAGTGCTTTACCTCTCGTCGGCCCATAGACTTTTTGTGTCAGATAGAGGTCATCCATGCATGCAAATTTATCAACTAAATTTGTAATCTCTGGAATTAAACTAGATTTATTTGAACAGATCCGTCACCTGTAGAACGATGTTGGGTAGTGTGTTAATTGTATTTGTACCTTTTAATTCTTTTTCAATTGAATCCCACATCAACTTTTCCATTATTTCACTTGGGATGGATAATCGGGTTAACTGGCCTAAAGGTTATCCCATTTGCCCTCTTGAATATTGATACATTAGCAATACTTTTCAAGACTTGCCCTGTTATCCTGAGGTTTATTAAAAGTTAATGCGAGTAGGACAGATTGCCACCAGCTCTTGAGATTTTTTTCAACAGAAGTTATTAAGATGTGCTAATTTTAGAAGGTTTATGTCTGTTAGGTTTGTACTGAAGGACTAGAACCTACGTCATTGTCTGTGGAAGATGTTGTTTTGCGTCTTTCCAAACACAGAATTGGAGAATATCTTCTGTTCCCAAACTGGTAGCCCCTAACACTGCCAGCACTTCCTGCTTCCCCTGAAAACTACACGTTGATATGTTAGAAGTTGGCAATATGGAAACCTGCAGCATGCTGAAAAGATGGGGACAATGCAAGATGGAGCTGTATAAGTGATGGGGTTCTGCACCTGATTGAATGTGAACATGAATAAATTATTTAGAACAATATTTTTAAATAGATGTTAAGTGGCTGCTGAATTTTCAGCCCACATCAGGATCTAGGACTGCTTTGCCAAAGTCTGATTCTTCTTTCCTATTGGTAGTATCCACACTTTGGGTGGGAGATGTCAGATTAAGATGTAAAACTCCAAAGATTATTTTAGCATCTCACGGTCGGTTTCAACGAGTGTTGTTAGAATACATTGACTTGGATATTATACTTAAACCAACACATGGACCTTGTATCAGTCTAAAAACCTTTCTACCTAAGAACACTTAAACAGAAAAGAAGGTGCCAATTCCTCTCCCTCCCCTTTACCCCAAGCCCCTTAAGACCCACTGTTTCTATGCATCTGTATTTTCCACAGAGAACACAGAAAAGTACAAGGACTTCTCTGGCTGACATCTATAGCTTGCAGTCACTAGCTGTCTTTGCAGAATCACACACAAATAAGGCAGAAAGGGACTTTGAGAGACAGTTTAGATAGGACAATCCCTCCCTACACCATTCTGGATAAAAGTTTGTCCAACTTGCATTTAAAAACATAGACGTTCATGTGTTTTGAAGGTCGTACATGCTGAACAGCCTGCATAGCCTATGGCAGACATAAGCTCAGGGCTGATTTTAGATGGATCCTAAGTCGCAAACCCTGGGTTTAATAACAGCTTTATGATTTACAAAACAGATAATATTTTGTTAGGCTGCCAGCCTGATTCTTTGGCAAAGGCAGGTATTAAAACAGCTGGGTAACCAGCACTGTCCACCAGCTAGGCTGAAAAAGAGATTGGTCCTTGCTGTAAACTGAAATGTGAACTGTGAAGGGAGAAGAGTGAAAAAAATGACAACATTTAAAAACCGTGGGCAGCCTGATGCTTTTTTTCCATTCATTTCTCTAGGAAGAAATAGGTGCATTTGGCTAAATGTCAGTATTTGAAGCTTTCTTTTGCTAGGTACAAGCGGAGCCAAAACTTGTAATTTCTCATATAAAGCTGGTATGCTCGATTGAAAAACAATTCCTGGGCTGAGCAGCCTTTCCCCAAGTGAAGCCCTGGACTCTACACACAATATGTTATCTGCGAGAACACCACTGAGCAGTTTGGCTTAAGGGGGCTGATTGAGAGCAGGTTGTTTTCACTTGTCTGCCACTTTCTATTTGTTTCCTGTCTCGCAGCTGGGGGCAATGTCTGTTGGTCTGTCCCATACTTACAAAGTCACTTCTGTTGTTTGGGACAGTTTCGCCAAGAAGTCTAGTTACAAGTCTTTCCTGCCCCAAGAGCAGCACTTATTTCTATGAAGTGTAGACTGAGACAGTGCTTTGTTAGGCCCCACTCAAAACAGCTCCTGGAAGAAAAGTGGCATTTCCTCCTTGGTTATCTTCCTGCCCTGGTTTAATGCAGTGAGGGATGCAACCACGGTGTGGGGCTGTATCTGTCTTAAAACCTTTTAAGTCGATTCTCTTTCTGCCTCTTCATGCAGCCCTTCAATGATGAAAACAGGAATGTCAAAAGTTAGTGTTTTTCTGGTTTGCAGTATCTTAATTTTAGCTGAAAGGTGGTTTCAGCTTCTGCTTTTAAAATAACTGCTCTAGAAAGTGGAACAGAATGGTGAGGGCCTAGGTTAAGGATCACTTATCTAATTCAAGCTTTTTATTAGTGTGACAACTTATACAAATGGTGTGAAACTACTAAAAACAAACAAAATAGCCTTCCCCCTTCTCCTTTCAGGGATCTGGCAGAAAGTAGTGCAGCCAGCCAGGACAGCACCGCACCCACTGTGGCTTGACCTCTTGTTGCCTCAAAACAACCACCGGCTCTGTAGAAAGGCACAAAGTGGTCCATTTCAAGGGGTCACTTCCTTTACATCTTCATCATCAATCATTTAGTTATGTTGTCCTCAGAAAAGGCTCAGGGCAGCCTACAATAACAGCCTCGATAGATCATTGAATCATAGAGAAGTAGGGTTGGAAGGGACCTCTAGGGGTCATCTAGTCCAAACCCCTGCCAGAGACAGGATCATCCTTATCGAAATTATCCCAAGCAAATCCTTGTTGAACCTATTTCTAAATCTACACAAGCTACCCTGCCACACAACCACAAAGTACAGTGCCCTAGCCTTCCACAGGCAAAACGGGGACAGTGGCCAATGTTCTGCTGCTGCAAGGGGTTGTTGAAATATGCTTCAGATCCAAGAAAAATTATGAAAAAAACGTAGTAAATCCTGCCAGGTAATGCTCCAAAGCTTAACCCTGCCTGCTTAAATCTGCCCAAACTTCTTGTAATGCTTCTAGAAGATGTCTAGGCTGTGGATCGGATGGGTTATGAGTTGGGGGGAGGTGGGGGGTAGAGCTGAGAAGCGACTACAAAGAGAAACAACCTTCTATGAATTTTTGCTGAATAAAATTTGTGCACAGATGATTGTTGCAGGAGGCTGCTCTGATTAATGTTCGGTATCACAGTGGAACATGAAGAAGGTTCTTGAGCAATGCAGTAATATGCTTCTGCCAACCCATCCCCTCCAGATGTAACTTTAAAAGCTGTTCTGGAAGGTTTGGCGTCAGGGGCCTTTAGGACGCTTTCTGAAGTGCACTGAAAACTAGGTTGAGTTTTAAGAGCAAATTCTTCAGTAACTTCAGGCTGAGTTGGTAGTTTGAGGCCTGCATGCGTTTGCTAGACACATCTATGGATGTCAGGCAGGTGGTAAGACTTGAAGGCCCCTGTGCCGAGCTAGTCTTGCCAGGGTGATGCTTGATTTGTTTTGGCTGCTCCAGGGGTAAGCAGAAGGGTAACGAACATACTAATTAGGTTGCCCCAGTTGTGCTAGGCTAAGACTGGTCTGAGCACCGCTGCAATCAGTTATGTGCACCCGGTTTCTGGCTGAGGCTTTATTAACACAGCAAGTTTTACTACTAGAGGAAACAACAGGTGAGAGGCAGCAGGAGACAGTGGAAGTGTGGGACTACATGGTGTCTAGTGAAAGGCATACATAAGCGGTCTCTCAGATGATCCTTTTCATTCCCTAGTGAGCTGGGTTTGAGTCAAGGAAACAAGAGGTAAAAGGGTCTGTAGCATTACCCACCTGTCCCTTTCACTACCCACTGTGCCTACCTCTCCCTAGGCTTTCCTAATGCTTTTTAAGGACAAAACCCTCTTAGCCTGCCTGTGCACATGATTCATTTAATGCCAACTTCACAGAGGGAAACTAGAATAATTTTCACATGCAAGTAAAGCAAATAGGTTGTGTCTTGCTTATCCTGGCCAGTGTTATTGACTGGTGCTGAGTACGAGATCCTTTCCGCAGCACTGATGAAAAGCTAGGCAGCTCTTCCTGTTGGAGCTGGATTGTTGCAGGATGGCTGCATAATATTGAATCGTCAGGCTTTTAGTAATCTTAGCAGGCTGTTCAACCTGATCCACTAAGCCTAAAAAAAAAAAAAGTTTAACAACTCCAGTTAAGTGCTTAAATACTTGCAGAGTTGCACATGCTAAGAAGTTGAGACAATCTCAGTTATTTTGTTAGATTATTTCTGCTAATGCATATCACAGACATTAGCTCCTAATACGTCTGAAATGTTCCACTGCAGCATACTACATCTCTTACTGGAGAGGTATTTGGGACTAGTTATTGTATTTGGCTCACTATTTGTTCCCCATCGAGTGTTTTACAGCTAAAAGATGTCATCCAATGGAGCATCAAAGGAACCACGAACTGTTACATTTTAATACTCTTGGAGAGAAGTGTCCTTCTGTGCATTGCCGAACTTCCACTCGGAGATGCAAAGGAATTGACCATAGGGCAGAAGTGGCTTTCAACTCTTAGAAAACATACCACCACAGTAGCACAACTCCTGATTTACTTAAATAAAGCTGTTTACTATGATTTCAAGATGATAAACTCTGATGCAAAGTGAGCTGAGCTCTCTGGTTCTCTTTACTTAACAGAGGTTTGGAGGAGTGTGATAGAAAGGGAAACGGGAACAAACAGATCCTAGAGCCATTTCTAAGAATTATTTTGAAACTACAGTGCAGCTATTCTGGCTATTACTAGTCACTTAAATGCTGGCAAGAAATTTTGGGTCAGAGAAAGCCATCTGGAACAGACGGGTTTTCATCCATGGCTGAAAGGAAAACTAACATAAGCATTATCATGGCACTGTCTCTTGTTCACTCTTGACAAAATTAATCCAATCTCTAGGTTGAATCTAGATCTATAAATATATTTATTATAATATAACAAGAACTTAACAGTAAACATAAACTATATACAATGCCATTACAGAGAACCCTGTTTTTTATATTATTCACAGAAATAGTCAGTTTTGCTCCAGTGTGATAAATGAAGAAATAAGCTAAATTGGAAAATGTTGCATGTGTTAGGTCTTGTTGACAGCTAGCACCTCCTTTGGAGGCAGACACACACCAACACTAAAATTAGTCCTGCCTCAGGCAGTTAGAAACTTGTGCTCCAATCTGTAGGTTCACACTTGCACCCTGTTGGACATAAATACTTTAAATGACATACTACGTATATAATATTGTTGTGCTTATTTTTTTTCCTTTAAAGAATAAATAAAACAACTGCATAACAAAGGTGGGAACCTCATCATGAAAATGAGTCACTGCCTGATTGAGCACATTTTTTTTTAAATACTGCAAGATACAAATTTCATACTATTTTCTTTTATAAACAATTATTAGTAAAATAACTTCAAGGTAATTGGCTAACCATTTGCAATATTTTCCCCAAAGTTGTAGCCAGACCTTTTGCATTATAAAAAGGTTAATGTATTTGGTATCAAATCCAACTAGATATTGACCATAGTGTCACACCTTTGTTCTGTAAAGGATCTCCCTGTGGAATGATCCCAGACCATTTGGAACTGCGAAGGTAAGAATGGTAACACTTCTCCTTCTTGCCGGTCTCCTTGGAAAGAAATTGGGTAATCCTTTGATGTAAGGGCAATTTTCTATTTACTAATTATGAAAATTCCCTCCTCCCGCCTCCCCACCATACCACTCCAATCATCTCCCGTTTGATCATTCAATGTATAAATTTATAAAGAATTTCCACATCACAATGCATCTCTGGATAGACAATATTTTAATATATATAAAAATATAACCCCTGTGCTGTGAATATACTTACAACTCTACATAGTAATAATTTTAAGTCTTATATTGGGCTTACTTCTATGCATTTTCTATCATGGAATTTAATCTTGTGTGTTAAAACCTGTAAATGTTTTTATTCTGACCAAGAAGCTATTGATACCCCTTAATGAGAGAAGTTTTATGTATGGTAAGACTTCCCCATCTTCCGTGGGGAATAAGTTTAAAGCAACAAAGGTGTCCTCGTAGATGTGGTTTAAAAAAATAAAAAGATAGTAGCATATATCCCAACGTAAGGAAATTTTGGTTAAGTGATCAAAAAATATGTGCGCAACACCTGAGGCATCTTCTTAACTAACTGGCTGGAAATGTGGAAACCCCACAGTATGCTGTTTATTTTATTACCTTGGTTCCAATCATGACAGTTCAAAATACGTAATGTAATCAAGAAAATGCCTCAGGAATTTAACCAAATTCATATTGCTTTACAGGAATTATACGCTGTAAAGTTTTGCTCATACAGTAGCAAATGGGGTAGAACGGCAGAAACCACCCTCACCCATCCCAGCACACGCATGCTACCATTGGGGGTAGAAATCCATTCAACACGAGAAACCTCTATCATCGCATTACACCGAATTCTATTACAAACGCGACCCTCCTCTTTTTCACTCTTCCCCCCTTTTTTGGCTCTGCTCTAGAGAACTGGAATATTCATTTGATCTGATGGAAGACTGACATCAACCTAGGCCATCTGTCACACAAGATTTATCTGTCATTGGTATTGAAAAGCATGTGTTTATTAAAAACAAATGTAGGAATCAAAGTGGTAAGGACACTTTGACCTTCTTTCGAATAGCCTGATGCCTAATGTGTAATTGTAAAACTAATCTGCACGGTTATTTTAAGAATCAAGCTTGCTTGCTAGAATTAAAATGCAGATTTTTCTCTTCCCTCCCCAGTTAAAAAATATGTGAAACTCTATTGCACCTGGGTTGACCAAAAGCCTACGTCCATAACAAGTGCCACTACGACATCTAGTGACACGCTTGTATTATTAAGTTACACTATCTTACATAACACGGAGCTGTCTGCTCCTCGTTCACCAAAAGGTGAGGATGATTTTCTACATTCAATGTAGAGAATATTCAAAACGTTAGAGCAAGATGTTTGTTGGTTGCCTTTGCTTGCTTTTTGTGGGGTTTTTTTGTAGTAGTAGTTTTTTTTTTTTTTTGTTGTTTTCTTGCTTGCTTTTGACAGCCAAAGTCAGTTCTCCATCCAACTTCTTCACATCAACCACTCTGGATGTACTTTTTGATTACTACACAGCCATGCCGAAACACAGGGCATGGCATGTTTGGCAGAAGTGTCCATGTGTTTGTCTTGGGGTCATAAGCTTCCATGTTTCCCAGCGCAGGTCCTTCGCTGCTAACAATTCCACCAGTAGCATAAATTTTTCCATCAAGAACCACAGCACTGCAAGAAAGAACAGTTTTGGTTAGTGTGGACTTGTAGCTTAGTGTCCTTTTATGTAGCAAAGTCTGCATCAACATGCTTAAGACTATTTAAAAAAAAATAAAAAGCACTCTTCTTCATTTGTAAAGCAGTATGCACCTTCGCAGACTTTCACCCCACTCTTGCCAGGTAGCTGAGTTGGCCAGAGTTTAAACACACAATAGGGAGGCTGGGGAAGACAGGTTTTACTTTAACTCGTGTGAAGTCAGCACCACAGTCATTACAGAAATGTATGATAACTAGCCATGTGTCTGTAGCCCTACAGAGAAGTCCTAAACAATTCCAGCTCCTGTTTAGGACCATCCTACTTCCCACTGCTGTGTACAGAGCATGCTTTGATCTTTGCCTCCTATGATTCAGTGCTCTTTGCCAAAGATGGGTTCTGCCCAACATCACAGGCTTAACCCCTTCCAATAATCAACTGGCTCTTTCACTGCAAAGGCTGATATCACACCCCCGTACCCATACCTGACTCCCCTCTCTCCCCACAGCATTCTCTTGTCCCGCTGCCTGGCCCTATTTGTAGAGTTAGCATGAAAGCCCTTTAGAGCACATGCCTAGCCATTGATCTGCTTTGTCTACTGAACAAGGGGCACCTGGGTGTCCTTGTCATATATGCGTACATACAGGGACCTCTTTTATAGAACAAAGGTGTGATGCTATGGTCAACATCTAGTTCCATATATGTATATGTATATATATGTGTGTGTGTGTGTGTGTGTGTGTGTGTGTGTGTGTGTATGTGTATATATATATATGTATATATGTGTATATATATGTGTATATGTGTATATATATGTGTATATGTGTATATATAAAAAAAACCCCCAAAATGGGACATTTCAAAACTCATTTGTAAAGAGCAAACCTGTTGCAAATAAAGGTGATGAGCAAGAGGTCTGACTAACTGCAGGGTAAGGAGACTTTAGCACAGAAAGAAATTCAAGCTTCTTGAAGCTAATTTTGGAGCAGTAGAAAACCTACAGCCCATATGCACTATAAGGATGGAGGGACTGGAGAATCTCAGCTGAACTAGAAATGGACCAACCATCTCTGAAAAGAACAAGAAGGTGAAAAATGAGAAGTAGCTGATGTCTTGGTGAGGAATTGGGGATGGGAGGGGTTAAAGATAAAAATAAGCTTGGAACAAAAAAAAAAAAAAAAAAAAAAA